ACCATGGCAAAAATCACAAAGTGAGTCTTTGGAAGAAAGCATTTGAACCCAATGCCTGGCACCTTTTAACAGCTAAACTTACTTTGAGTGTGGACTTTGCCAGAGGGAGGGGGTTTAATCCTGACTTTCATATATGTATGAGCTTCCTCTCTGTGCTTCAGGTTTCTCAGCTGCAAAATAGGGATGATTCATAGTATCTTCCTCAGAGCTAATACATGTGAAATGCTTAGAACTGTGACTTCTCTTATCATGTGTGGTTCCCAAATTTCCATGTGGGGTTCTCTTTGCCCTCCTGGGAAAGGGTGTGTGCATGTGTGTTTTGAGGGGAGGTGGCAAGGGGAGGTGGTCCAGCTGTGTAGGCCCTCTGAGCCTGAGCAAGTGGGACACTGAGAAGCGCCTAGACCCCAGCAAGGGTTGAGGCTTTGTGGAGGGTTGCCTTATAGAGAGTTAAGGCATTGCTGGGGGTTAAGGCATCCCTGTAGGTCAGGGAGGAACTGAACCTTGGAAGGAGGACTGGGTCTGGGCCTGACACTCAGCCATGCCCTGGCCATTTGGATCAAGACCACTGGTGACCCTACACCTGTGGAAGAAAAGGCATTGCAGCCTGTTGAGGCCTTAAAAGGATTAAAATCCTTAAAGGATTGTTATGTCAATTAAACAAGAGGTAGGTATCAATGCACTTTGTAATGAAAGCAAATTTCAGGACAGTAATGGTGAAGGAAAACCCATACCATCTATGCTAGGATGGGGGAGAGAGATGTCCAGGCTTTTCGGGTGCTTTGGTGATGGAGAATCATTCTTGAGAGGGAATGAATTGCTTTGGGCCCTTCCAGTGGGTGGCTTGAGGGGGGCGGGCAAGCCCTGAGCTTGGGGAGATCCTCAGGATACCAGTCTTGCCTTGGGTCCTCCAGCTCTGGGGGTGGCCAGTGGCAGGTGAGGGGATGTGGGCTGCCAGGCAGGCACCTGCAGCACAGAACCAGGAAGCCTCCTGGCTCTGGCCTTCAGAGCCAAGGCAGACAGGTGTAGAAGCAAGAGCGGCCTCAGGGTACCTGAGGAGCAGCAGGCTTCAGAGGGCCAGAAAGCATCCAGCCTCCTGTCCCAGGTGCGTGGCCCTTTGCTTTAGGAGGCACGAAGAGGAGGGGGTGCTTGTTACAATGGAGTTCCAGAAGCAGCAGGTTCCACCTGCCTAAAGGAAGAAACTGTTGTGTGGTGCCTGAGGCAGCTGCGTGCCGCCACTCACTCCCTCTGCAGACTCCACTGCCCACTGCAGGGTGGACGGGGGTGGGGAGAGAGTGGTCCCGACGTGACTTCCTCACGACTGCAAGCCCGACCTCCTAGCGTCTGAGATCCAGGGGACCTTGTTCCCGAGGGGTGCAGCTGGTGGTGGCGCTGGGTTCCCAGAGGGGTGTCAATAGCTGAAGAAGCGGGACCGACAGCCAGACCCTTTCCCCCCATCCAGGCCGCGGAGACCCAGCCGGGCAGGGACTTGGACGACAATGGCCCGCGCCGCAGCCTGGAAGATGACCGAGGGCCCTGGAAGATGATCTAGAGCCCAAGATCAATATCCCCAACAGCTGGGCGCCGCTTATTGTTTAAAAGGAAGCTCCCTTTGTTCTTACGTTTTACCTAAAAGAAGCAAAAACATTTGTTTCCTAATCAAATTTTTGTCAGCACCGAAGCAGCCAAACCAGCTCTGGCCCCTGTCCCGGGACCTCTCTCTCGTTCCCTTCGGCCACTTGAGGCCCGCTTCAGGCTGGGGAGATGCTCAGGACCCCGGGGGGTCGCACCAAAGAGGGCCTGCAGACCACTGAGGCAGCCTCCACCCCCGCCGCCGGTCTTCCAAGCGGGGTTTTCTTGGAGCCGAAGCTGTTCAGCCGATCAGCAGGTCTGGTGGCCCTGGCCCGGCTTCCGATTCCATTTAAAACGACCCGCGCATCTTATCTCCGCGTCGCCTCCCCGGGGTTCCCACCCACCCCCGGGCCTGCCCAGCCCCGGCGGAAGCAGAGCCGGGAGCTTTTGAAGTCCCGAGAATTTCAATCCGAGAGGAGCCGGCTGGACCGGAGCCCGTCGCCCCAGCGGGGGAAGGGACTGCGAGGCCGCGAGGGGCGGGGTGGCCTGCCCGCAGTGGACCCCATGCGGCTGCTGTCACCCCTCTCCGTTTTTATGGGGTTGTGGAGGGCTTCACTCACTCTCTGAATTTATCTTTCTTCTCCAGCCGTGCCATGAATAACCTTCATGACCCAGCGATAATGACGCTATTAAGATACTCCCCCCACGCATAAACACACCAAAAAGCCCCAAGACCCCCCAGAACAGTGTTCTTATCCAGTCTCTTCCTCCTTTTGTCATCTTTCCATTAAAAATTTGACCTCTCTTCACCCGATGTTGACGAAAGGATGCTTTTGGAAGAAGTGACATTTGGTTAAAAAAAAAAAAAAGTTTTCCCTCATGCACCCAGGGGTTCAGTAAGTCTCTAAAGACCAGAGAAACTGAGGCTGCTTTGAAAGGGCAGGGCATAAATGGAAAGGATAGGGCGGGAGTCGGGCTGAGGGGAGAAGTTCCCAAAGTAGGCAGCCCTCCTCTGGAGAGCCAAGGCAAGCCTGCTCCGTTGAGGTGGACCCAGGAAGGAGACTAAGTGGCATTCCTTGACCTCTCAATCCTATTCCGCTTTCATCTTGCAGAGAAAACCCAGAGGAAAAAAGGATCAAACACAGAACATTCCCATTGAATGCAAAGCTGGGGGCGGGGCAGGGCAGGGGAGCCTGGAGTCCCTCTGAGGACCTGGCCCCAAGGAGGTGGGGGCAGCAGGGCGGCTGTGAGAAGGTGGTGTACTCCCGGGGGAGGGGAGTAGAGGAGAGGGGCGGGGAGGACCCAAGGGAGGCAAGGAGGGGGAAGAGGAGGTTGGACTGTGGGCGCATCCTAGACCAAGTGCCAGAAGGGCCCTACAGAGTGGGCAACCTCAGCAGCTCAAAGACAGACACTGAGGGAACACGGCTTTGACAGGGAGGAGAGAGCAAGGCAGGTGCTCCCTCAGGCTCTGGCTGCTGGCGGGGAAGGGCAGGGTATGACAGAATCCTTGGACAACTCCATGTGGCAGCAAAATGTTCTGAAATTTGATCCCCCCCACTCCCAATTGCTTTTCTCTGACCCCTAAAATGTGTTCCCTGATTTTGGGTCTAGCAATGCTCTGCAGACAGTGGCTCTGGGAGTCCCAGGGAGTGGAGGTGTCTATGAGGACACTACTCTCTGGATCCTGCCGCCCCTTGCCCATTCCCCCTAGCCCCAACCCTCTGCGAGGTTAATGAGCATCTTCTTGAATTGGGGGACAAGTGGAAAGCAGGAGCGGGCAGGGAACTTTGGTCTTTCCTGGGATCTCTCTCTCTCTCTCTCTCTCTCTCTCTCTCCCCTGGTGGCTGGCCGGGACAGAGATGGAGCCCTGGACCTTGGTTTTATGTGCACCCCTCTCTAACCAGCTGAGCTAGCCGTCTGGCCCTGTCATTGTTTCTCTGGCTTCCTTCACTACTTCATAATCCCACAGATAGGAAGACTGGTGGAGGGGTGGAGAGGGAGAAGAGTTGAGAGAGAGAAAAAAGAGAAAAAAGTAGGAGATAGAAAACAAAAAAGTAGTGGCAAAGGGAATTTTCTTTAGAAGGTGTGACTTTGCCTTAGGGATTGGAGAAGCAGGGAGCCGCCCTCTGCGGGTGGCTGCCTAGGGCTAGAAGCTCTTGGAGAGGGGGCGGAGAAAGAGGGGTTGAGCATAGAAGGCGCCCGCCTCCCGCCCTCAGCAAAGTGAGAAGAGACCCAGCCCACCTACCTGGCCCCAATGCACTTGCTCAGCGTTCCCAAGGAGAGTTCTATTCCGCCTTCCCAGGAAGAAGACCCGCAGCTCCCCCAAACATCATGTTCCACAACCACCGCTCCCCACCTCCAGCCCTGCAATGGGGGCAGGGGGCGGGTTGCCTTCCATCCCCAAAGATTTATCGGATCCCATGGACACTTGCTCTTTCAGGGTGTTTTCAGTTATTTCTTTCTCTTCTCTCCCCAGCACCACCCACTTTTGGAGCCAGATACCACTGCTCCTGGGCAGAGCCTAGGGGAGGACGCTGCGAGTCAAACCTCTGCCAACTCCAGTGCCAGCGAGGGCCTGGGTACTCTCGAGCCCTGCCTTAAACCCCCAGGTAGAAGCTAGCATCTTTGCCAGCCAGGGGTCTCCAATGCTGCCGCAGTAGGGGCCGCATTTGCCAGGACCTCTTTACTTGAAAAACCTGTTTCCAGGAAAATTCGTTGACTCTGAACGAATACATTAAAATACAGGCAAGAAAAGAAAAAAGGACCACTCAGAACCTCTCCCCACCCAACATACCTGAAGTGAAGGCGAGGCCCGAGCAAACGGGAAAGCGATTTCTTCTACAAATAGCCACCTCGAGGTCAAGCAGGGCTGCAGAAAGCTTAAGGCCATCTAGATGGGAAGGGAGGAATAAAAGAAATCAGCAAACACTTTGAGTCAGCAGCCAAGGCAGGTCTTTAAAGAAAAAAAAATTAAGGTGTTTATCTCTTGACCCTTGGGAAAGAAAAATAGCAAAGTTTGGTTCCCAGAAGGAAGGAGACAGATGGGGGGTAGGGGAGGACGGAGAAAAGAGAGGAACGGATACCCCAGGGTCAGATTCTGCAGACAAGTTGGGAGGGGAGGGGGCAATGCGTTTGTCTGTAGCTTGTAAAAAGATTGTGGAGCCGGTTTGAGGTTAGCTGTCAGGGGCAGGCATTTGCAATAATGCTGAGAGAATCGAGGCTTGTAAGCTGGCCTTCACACTTCTTAAATGCGGTTATGGATTCTTTCATCGGTGTTAGATCAAGGCACCAAGTTAAGAAAACAAAAGTCAAAACAACAATAAAACAAAAAATCAAAAGCGTATTCAATTACCGAGTCCCGCTGCCCTTGCGGAACTGGCTGCGCGCGCGTTAAGCTCTCTCTTCTTTCTGCGGAATTCCATTTGCATCCCCTCTGCCTGGGTGTCTCCCTCTCCCAGTGTGTCTCTCTGTCTGTTTTCACACTCTCCTCCCCATTCGAGCGAGGCCCACACCTGGCGCATCACTGCCGAGCCATTAGCTGCGGGTCTCCTTTCATCTTCGCTGTGGCAGACGTTTCTATTTATCCACTTGCGCTCGCCGAGTGGCGTCACCAGCGGTACTGTAATGACGATTGCAGCAGGAGGATGACAGCTTAGAAAGAAGAGGGCAATGGGGCTTCCTCCCAGAGGCGGGGCGGCGCAGAGGAGCGCTCGCATCACAAGGTGACCCTAGCTCCCCACCGCCGCCGCCGCCGTTGCTGTCGACACTGCGCTCCGGCCGCTCCGCGCGCGCCCAGTCGCCCGGCCTCTCTTTCTCCCTCTCGCAGCCACTATCTACCCGGCCGCTGGGGAATCAGGAAGCCTGGGGTTAGGAGCTCACTTGGGGCTTTCCCCCTCCCCCTCCGGAGAGCCCCGGGATGGAGAGCCGAAAGGACATGGTTATGTTTCTGGACGGGGGTCAGCTTGGCACTCTGGTTGGCAAGAGAGTGTCCAATTTGTCTGAAGCCGTGGGCAGCCCGCTGCCCGAGCCGCCCGAGAAGATGGTGCCCCGTGTTTGCCTGAGCCCGCGGGCCGGCCCTCCGACCGCCCGGGAGCGCGGCGGGGGAGGTCCGGAGGAGGAGCTGGTCGATGGACTCGCAGGCAGCGCGGCGGGGCCGGGCGCCGAGCCACGGGCAGCCGGGGCGGCCATGCTCGGCCCGGGACCCCCGGCCCCCTCCACCGACAGCCTCTCCGGCCAGGGGCAACCCAGTAGCTCGGACACCGAGTCGGATTTCTATGAAGAAATCGAGGTGAGCTGTACCCCGGACTGCGCCACCGGGAACGCCGAGTACCAGCACAGCAAAGGTAGCCACCGCACCCCTCCTCTCCCCGGGCCTCCCACTGCGCCCACCTTTCACTTCACCTCAGGCCAGGAGGAAGACACTCCTTTCCCCAGGGCAGGATGGCTGGGGGGACCCACCTGAGCAACTCTCCCCTGCTATCTGTGCCCTGACGGGGGTCTCCTACTGTGTTCTGGCATTGACGGGACTGAGGGTGACAGCTGTGCCTTGGGGGAGGGGAGACACAAGTCCTGGGCTTGGGATTCAAAGCGCACCCCAACCCCCACCCCCCCAGTGTTTTGTGGGAATGCTTCAACTGAGCGGGAAGACACCTTCCCCGGCGTGGGCAAGATCAAACGCGAGTCCGGGCAGTTTGTAGCTGGCGGGGTGTAAGGCGCATCGAGGCGCGGAAGCAAGGAGTCCATAAAGGACCGTAAAATCAAGGCGGACTCTGTCGGCCGGGGTGCTGCAGCCCTCCAACCAGTTTGCACGTCGGTCAGAGGTCCAAATTACCTTGTCACTTCCCGGGCTTGGCGGCGCCAGGTCGGAAATGGTCCCAATGGTCTAATTGCCTTTGGTCTCCGGTTGCATTTGAAAAGGCAGAGATTGGGCCCTCCCCCCTTCCCTTTCCTTCCTAGTCCCACTTCTCCACCCAAAGGAAAAGGAGCTGCAGGGGGCTGACGCCCCACCCTACCCTGGGGTAGGCCCAAAGGAGGGGCTACTTTCACTGGAGACCCTCTTTTCAACCAAAGGCTAAAGGGAGGGGTGGTGGATGGCCTGGAAGAAAGTCTTCCTCCATGCCAACAATCACCCCACTTGAGAGGGGTGGAAAACTGGGAGGGAGAGCCCACCAGTAGACACTCCCCCACAAAGCTGTGGGAGTGGGTGGGAAGAGCCTGGGAGGGAAAAAGATCACCCCAGCCTTGGCAGCCAACGCCTTGCTGAGTACCCACACCCAACCCCTTACAATGTTGTTATCCACTCAACCCAGACCCCCTCCCATTACATGCCCTCGGGAACAACCTATACTGCACTCAAACACAGTAAAGTAATGGGATACTCGATACGGCACTCCCATGCTACTCCAGCAACACACACACACATTCTCATACCTGTGCTGGCAGCCTGGCACACACAAGAGCAAGGAAACTTGCTACATGCCCAGCATTCTACAACACACTAAGAGTTCACAATACCGGCACAAAGGTGCATCTTAACTCACTTGCCTGTCAGACATGCACGCCCTTGCCCACCCCTGACAACTGTAGGCAGAAAACTCAGAGGGGCTGCACCTGGCCTGTGCCTCAGGTGAGGAGGGCGCTGGGAGCCTATGTACCCAGCATGCCTTAGACGGAGGCCTCCCAAACAGCAGCCAGGCCAGGCCTTCCCAAAGACCTTCAGGTATCCATCCCAAAGGCAAGCCCCATCCTCCCTTCCTGGGTTCTCCGGAGTCCGCAGAGCCCCAGCAGAAGCGGTGACTCAGGCAGCCCCGGGGGGGTGTACCTTCCTAACTCGCGCCCCTCGCCCACACACATCTTGGGCGAACAGCCCCACGTCAGCGACGTTTGTGTGTCTGTTGTGTGTCCGTGTGTGTGCACGCGTGTGCTTTGGGTTCCCTGCGCAGGGCCTGGCTCCGAGGCACTGGCTGGCAGTCCGAACGGCGGCAGCGAGGCCCCCAAGAGCAACGGCGGCGGCGGCGGCTCACAAGGCACCCTGGCCTGCAGCGCCAGTGACCAGATGCGCCGTTACCGCACGGCCTTCACCCGGGAGCAGATTGCGCGGCTGGAGAAAGAATTCTACCGGGAGAACTACGTATCGAGGCCGCGGAGATGCGAGCTGGCTGCTGCCCTGAACCTGCCGGAAACCACCATCAAGGTACTGGGGTCGGGATACGGGAGGCGTGTGTGCACCCATTTAGCAGGAAGTCAATGCCAACTGCTCGCTCCCTAAGTCGCGCGCCAGGAATCTGGGCCTGGGGTCTCCCTGCCTGGTGCGCGCAGATTTACCCTTCTGACAGTCCCTAGGGACTGTCATGCGGTTGACTCTGTCCCTTTCCTAGCCAAATGGACAACGGGGATGGGGTGCCTGTGCAGGTGACAAAGAAATGCTCCAAAGGAGGGAGAAAAGGAGAGAGATGGAAGGGAACGCGTTTCTGGGGAGAACTGCCTGCGGTCTCACACTGTTGGAGTCCTAGTCCTCCCACTACTTGCATATCCATACCAGGTTCTGGCACCCGGGGGGTTCTGGCCACGTGGGCAGAGGGAAGGAGGGACAGAGAAAGGAGTCACTCCCCGAACCTGTCACGGAGGGATTCCAGCTTCAGGTGGTGGCGGTGAGACCTGTCCCCGCCCAGCTGGTGTCTGCTTTGGCTCTTCCCTGCGCAGCCAGCACCGTCCTCTGGAGTGGCGCAGGACTTCTGGGCTCTGGGCACTGGGCCAAGTCCAGCGGCCGAACCTGCCCCGCTCCTCTCCCCAGGTGTGGTTCCAGAACCGGCGCATGAAGGACAAACGGCAGCGGCTGGCCATGACGTGGCCGCACCCGGCGGATCCCGCCTTCTACACGTACATGATGAGCCACGCGGCGGCCGCGGGCGGCCTGCCCTACCCGTTCCCGTCGCACCTGCCCCTGCCCTACTACTCGCCCGTGGGCCTGGGCGCCGCGTCCGCTGCCTCGGCCGCAGCCTCGCCCTTCAGCGGCCCGCTGCGCCCGCTCGACACGTTCCGCGTTCTCTCTCAGCCCTACCCGCGGCCCAAACTGCTGTGCGCCTTCCGCCCCCCGCCGCTCTACCCCGGCCCGGCGCACGGACTGGGCGCCTCGGCCGGCGGCCCCTGCTCCTGCCTCGCCTGCCACAGCGGCCCGGCCAACGGGCTGGCGCCCCGGGCCAACGCCGCCTCGGACTTCACCTGTGCCTCCACCTCCCGCTCGGACTCCTTCCTCACCTTCGCCCCCTCCGTGCTCAGCAAGGCCTCCTCCGTCGCGCTGGACCAGAGGGAGGAGGTGCCCCTCACCAGATAAGGGGCCGCCCGCGGGCTGCCGGCTCCAGGACGCCCGTGGGGGCCCCCCGGGGACTCAGCCAGCGCCTCTCCTCGCCCTTAAGACACCGAGAGGAGAGGAGAGGGCCACAAAGGACCAGCGGGACTCGGCCTCGAGGATCGGGACGCCCAGGAAGCGGCCGTGGCTGGCGCGCTTGGGGAGCAGGAGTGGGGATGGGGAAGCAGAGGTCGACAGACCTTCCTCTGGGGCGGCCTTTCTTTGCCGTTCTTTACCGGACCCACCACCCCTGACTGGGGTTGAGGCCATGACTCCAAAGCTAAACAAAACTTAGCAGCAACAGCAACCAATAACCAGACCCCCTTTCCCCACCCCCCACATCGCCCCCATCCTCCCTGCCGCCATCCTCCTACCTCACACCCCTTCCTCACCAGGGCCCCCTCTCCCCTGCCAAGGCCAAGCCCAAGCAATGGAGAGGGAAATTTCTGTCTCTTTGAACAAAATGCTGTGTATGCAGAGCAGGGGAAGATTAATCTTTGCCAGCTTTTCCAAGGCATGGCAAGGGGCTTGTGGAAAGCAGTGCACCAGCCATTCAGGAGAGAGCGTGTGAGAGAGATGATTTACTACCAGAGAGAATCCTGACCCTTGGCATGGAAGCTGGAGGCTCTCTCACCTTCCAGGAGCCTCAGTTACACAGCATGTTCTGCTCCTGGCATCTACCAGCACCTGATCTCTTCTCACTTGCAGGCTTGTGAAACCTCTCGGCTTGCACCCTCTACCCTCCGCGCATCACCCTTCAACCCCCTCCCCACCCTCATGTTCTCCACACCTCCCCTGCCCCCCATACCCCACCCCACCGACACTTTTTTGTTTCACTCTGGCAGGGAGGCTGTAGATGCCCTAGGGCCCCTTGGCAGCTTCTGTGAGGCCAAGCCTCTTCTCTCCAGCCCAGCACACTTCCTGATTAGCAAGCGATGTGTGCGAGGAGGGTTTTTGAATGTTGAATATATAATAATAATCACTGGCCACTGAGCCCAGAGCTGAGCTGTTAACAAGGCGCCCAGGGAAGAGCTTAGGGAGTGGGGACTCCACCTCCCTCCCTCAGTATCTGGCTGCAAATTAGAGGCTGTTTCCATCCTGTGCCTGTTCACCTTCACTTCACTGGGAGCTTTCTGGCCCTTCCCTTTGCATTTGGCATTTTACATCCTTCTCTCACTTTTCTCCTAAGCTGCCGCTGGGGCTTGACTTCTAGATACCAGTGGGAAGTCTTCTGGGGACCCTGTCTCTACTCTTCACCAGGGTTTGGGAGCCACTACCAAACCCTCACTCCCACACTCACTTTTGCATCCAATTTTTGAGGAAGAGGAGAACTTGTGTCCCCCACCCCCAGCGCCACACCATGCAAGCTTCACCTTGGGCTCTTCCTATAGGGAATGAATTTGGTTTGGTTTGGGGTTTTCCTTTGAAGCCCAAAGAATCTGCTGTTATGATTTGCTAACCACATCGCAATAAAAGCTGGATATGATTCTCACTTTAGCATTTTTAATTTTTTTTAATTTAAAAAATTAAAAAAAATTTTTTTGGCAGCAGGCAGAACGTTGACTCTTTCTGAATTACTAGTTCAGCCACCATGGGCTTGGGTAAGAAAGGGACCAAAAGCCTCTGTTGGGCACTGGCAGGCTCCAAACTGACATTGCACGGAGGTGGAGAAGGCTGTGAACTACCCTGGAGTGCATGTTTCCTTAATCCCAAGCATGCTGAGAGCCCTCCATGGGTAAATTAGGGCTCACCCTGTGCTGGGTCCTTTTCTAGTTGCTCCAGTCCTTTGAGGAAAGGGGACTCTGGGCTGTGGTCGGTGAGACTTCCCTCCACCCCAGGCGGAGGTGGAGGCAAGTGGGGCAGTGGCAGGGAGCTTGAACACTGCAGAGAACTAGGTTGGCTGGTCAAGCTGGGTTTGCATCTGAGAATGCAGGGAGAGGAGGGAGGAGGAATCACTCACTCCTGGGTTGAAATCGTCTTGGTTTAAATTGTCCTTAGGCTGAAAGTCATTTGGAGGATGGGATTCTGGGCCCATCAGACAAGGGGACAGGCAGTGCTCAGAAGCCACCTCCTTTCCCACACACACTGGAGAGCCAAGCATGACTGCCTCTGGAGTCTCGCTTAAGCGGGGGAGAGATGGGTGCCTTCAGGAAACTAGGATACTTTGCCGGCGTCTCCGCCGGCGGGGGTGGGGGACTCCTCAACAGCCCTCCCCCCTCCTCGGGCTCCAGAGCAAACCTTCCTGCACACAGTAGCCCCTGCTCTTCCAAGCAAAGCCTTGCTGAGGTTTCCGGAATCCCCTTCCCCCCAAGGACCTCGCAGCTCCTGCTGCAGCCGGAGGCTCCAGAGTGCCAAATACCGGCAAATGCGCGGTTGCTCCGCGTCGGGCAGAGATTGCTTGCGACAGGTAAATGGACTGTGGGTTGCCTTAATGCCAGGCGTATTTTCAGTTAATAGGGAGGGAAAATGAGGTGTCTGCAGCGATATTGGAAAGTACAAGATCGATGATCCGGCCTCGTGTCCAATCAGCAGCCTTTAATTGACTGTATTTTCTGGGTAATTGAGCCTCTCTTCCTCCAAATTGAAGTGGAAGATATAACAATACATCTTGCCAGGAGGAATTACTCATTACTTCATAATGAAATTTCCCTTTTGCCAGGGTTTGCGGTTTGGCGCGAGGCAGCACTTCTCACACTCCCCGCCCCCCAACTCCCAGCCCCCTAACCCCCACATCAAACATGCATAGCCGGCCGCATCCCGCACCCCGCAGCCCCAACTGGCCTGACACGCCCATTTTGGTGGGAGGGGGGGACGTGCGAGATGACCATGAAGAAGACACTGCCTCTCCACGGCCCGCAATCTCTTTATCTATAAAAGGAGACGGCTGGAGCCAGCAACAGAGCTTGACATGATTGTTTTTCAACTTTCTGAGTGCCTCCAACGTAGCTTTGTCCCATCTCGGTCCCATTTTACAGGTGGGAAAACAGAGGCTCTGGGACTCACGCAGCTATTAGCGGCCGATGCAGCTATTAACTCCAGGCTCCTGCTTTCTCCTCGCTAGCCCTGCTTTGGGGCCGCGTCCGCAGTCACCCCCAGCAAAGTCTGACACCTCATTCCCTATCCACACTTTCCTACTGGTTCCTTAATCCCGGCCAGCCTGGTGGTCCGGCGCGCAGCCCGGGTTCGCTCAGCCCGGCAGGACTAGCTGCCCCGCAGCCCGAGTGCGCGCCGAGCCCGCGTCGTCGCTGGCTTGTTAGCGTGTGATTGATTGCCTTATTAAAGCGTGTTCTTGTAAGTGTGACCAAACTGATTGCATTGCATATGTTTGGGATAATGCTCATTTTAAACAACAGGATAAAGAGGATGAGCTCGGTAGAGCCTCGAAAACGGAATGATTCTGGCCAGCAGCTCCCTAATTCTGGCATTAAATTGCCCAGTTACATAGCAAATCACTTGGTTCCTCCATCTTTGTTCCCATTTTTTTCCTTCTGGCCAGCAGTTTGATCGTGTCTTCCAACGTGGTATGTCCCACGAATGGTTTCTTAGTGACTACTGGCTCTACCTTCCTAGGCTCCAACCCTTCACCTGCACGCCTCGGGCATAGTGTCCTCCCACCTCCATCCCAGGAAGAGAAAGAAGAGATTCAGTACACACTTTCTCATCCTAGGCCTCCCAGGGGGACATGGCCTGAGACGCTCATCCCAAATGGGAGTTTGGTTCCCCCAAACAATAAGTTGCATGTCCCCTTCACCCCCAAACCCAGCCATTTCAGGAAAGTTTAAAAAGCTTCTTTTGTTCCCCAGTCTTCTCCCGCTCTGTTGATTAGACGCTCATCCCAAATGGGAGTTTGGTTCCCCCAAACAATAAGTTGCATGTCCCCTTCACCTCCAAACCCAGCCATTTCAGGAAAGTTTAAAAAGCTTCTTTTGTTCCCCAGTCTTCTCCCGCTCTGTTGATTCCATTATTTCTCAGTCAAGGAAACACCCGCCGCCATATGTCCGCCGGAGAGCGTGAGTGTCACAATGGACAGTTGCTGAAGATGTCCAGATGGATGGCATTCTCCAAGTGGGAAGAGCTTTGCCTCTGAGCATCCTCTCCATGCACCCTCACTCAGGAGTGGGAGAGAGAGGAGTAGGAGTCGGTGAGGTGGGGGCAAAAAAATCGGGATTTCTTCGAATTATCTTCCTGTGCTCTCACCCCCAAACTCCTAGTTGTGTCGAAGTTCTCTTTTTGTGCCTGTTCCCTAACAAAGAAATCCTCAGCTGACCTCCACTCACTGCTGTCAACTTGCAGGAGAGCTAAACTACTCGAGATGGAACTTCCTAAGTGGCACCTTTTGGATACGCTGGATTTCTGATTTGTTCAAGATGATGGCAGTCATCAGGACAAGTCAGAAACGATGCCACTCTTCAGGGTGTCATTTGTAAGTGCAATCGCATGGATTCGTTTGCAGAACCTAACTAAAAAGGGTCTGGATAAGTGGCTAGATCCAAACGGCAAATTTCTTCCATCGCTCAGCTCCTCCCAAGCTCTGCAGGGACAGGCACATCAGACTGCATTAGGGTGAAGCTAAGGCCCAGCTCACCATGTGTGCCAGCTTGCAGGACCCCGGAAGTGTTGACCCTGAGAAAAAGCAAAACAACAAAACAAAATCAAACCACAAAATGCATCCTACCATCTACAAAGCAAACAGAAACAAAGTCGTTTTCGAAATCGTCTTTTCAGCAAATAAGTATGCGATATTCTGAGCAGGAGTAGGAGCGAGAAAGTGCCACTTAAAAACAACATGAGAGCATTAAGTAATTATTTAAAACAAGGCTGTTTAGAAAAATATTTGTATTTATTGCAGCTGCTCAATTGGCCTCGTTAAAGTCGGCAAGCATTTAAATTGTGTTACAATCTCATTTAAATCCCGCTCCGTTCCAGCAGGCTGAAGAGCTTGAATAGACCAATCACTTCATAATGATGATGAATGAGAAATTAATTCAGATACAAGCAAGACAATTTAGGCCTTCATCTGTTTAAATAGCCTTCCAATATTATTCGCGATCGCGGGTCACAGATTGAATCAATTGTCCAATCTTGTGAAAGTCATATCCTTGCATCTT